AAAAAATAACAGCTATAGCCTATATACAAAAATACAGTATTTATATCCGTGATATTTATTATTTTTTGGGTATTTTTATCAAAAAATAGTGATAATCATATAGGCAACTTTTTGTCTATAGTACACACGGACATTTAGATGTAGATATTTTTAAATATTAGTCGTAAATCGGTTTGCAGGGGAATTGCAATTTTTAATCCCTTCCATTGTATTGAGCTTCAGATCCACCACTGTTTACTTATCAATTAACTGTATACAATGCACATGTAGTCGTAGAATTAATTTAAAATGTCGATAACTATAATATTTGAAACATTAAAATTAACAATTGAATCCGATTTTTGTTTGGTGAATGTCTCAACCTACAACCGCATACCCTGTGTTAGCCTATGGTTATTTAGGAGGCGCGGAGGTTCAAGAGTTTCCGGAGCGGCGAGCCGGTCCGGCGTTTCCCGTGTCGTTTTAAGGACCACAAGCATCGCGGGACCCCAAAAACAACGGAGACTCGCGTACCAATGGGTTAGGGCCAAGTGCCACCCGTCCCCCGCCGTTAGTACGGCCACAGCCTACCTCACTGCTTTCCGTTTTTGGTCACGGATTAATATTAACAGTAGTGCTGAAATATTTCTAACTTATCAGCGGAATTTTGATTAAATATATAACATACATATACATCGAAAAAATAATATAATTTAAGCTGAATGGAATGACATTTTAGCTTGGCAAATTTTACTAACATTATAAATGTGAAATTCGGTACACAAATAGAAATATTCCGAATTAGCACATATGCCATTTTTTATCCTGGCATTGCGTTTCTGTAGGATTACTGAAGAATTTTTATCGTTCAATACTTTGCTCGGGCAATACCATGTGGTACAATTATTTAAAATAGAACGTTATATGAAAATACCGTCCAGGCGAAGTCGGAGAATACAGCTGGTCCTTACAATATATGCCAAGGTCTTATTCAGTCCGTTACTTCAACCCCAAAATTACCAAAACCGACAAAACGTAAAATATCAAATTAGTAGATAATTAACAACACAATATCAGTAAAAAAAATAGGAAATCGTAGCGCCCTACAAAACTTAAGACTATATGGAAAAATTCAATTTTAAACAAAATATTTGCTGAATGTTACCACTGAGTAATCTCTTTTACTTGAACTACTCTTAACCTATTATTCTGTCACTCATCAAACCTACTTATTGTGAATAATTGTGTATAGGTTATAGATAAGATACGGCAGTCACGTGAGCTAGTAGTAATCACACCCATGTAAACTATAAATTACCATAACTTCGGAACTAAATGTTTCCGCCATTCCGATAGCACCGTCGTGCTCAGGGTTATAAAATGCACGAGTTAAAAAAAAAAAAAAAAAGCAATTTTTTGAGGGTTCGCTAAACTAGAATATTAATTTTTTCCCAGAATTTATTTAGTGGAGAATTAACGAATTATACGATGAATACAGTCTACATACATCTGTATACTGTATAGACCATTTAGACGATTATTTAGGATCACTTTAGAACCGCGCTATAATCACAAGACAGTGGTCGCTCGTAGTCACTAATTATTAACATAATAATAATATAAAATAATATGAAATCGGAAATCATTCGAATCATCGGCGGAATCATTCAAAAAATTGTGGTCGTCGACGATGGTCGAGCGTATAAGTAAAATTACACTTTTTTTTTAATACATTTCTATTTTCGTTCGGTACCTACCTACTTTTTTTTGGAAATCGTCGTCTTTAAAATGAGCGAAATTCAATGGGGTAAATATAACGACGACGACGTTCGTAAAGTACCACGATAGCATTTACGTCGTCTGACTGTGTCTAAACTCGTATGGTGTGAAACTCGATAGAACTTTTCGTGTAAGTTTTCAAACGCAAAAGTTTAAATAACATATACGATACGCACAACGTAGTTTCAAAAACGGTCAGGACCTTTATATTATTATTATTATGAATTCTATTACATTCGCACAATCGGCAACTCCTCGACACGGTTAATAATATTTATTTTAAAACAGTTTTATGGATTTTTTGCGAATTCACATATTATATAAATTATACATAGAACCTAATTATAGGTACGTGATTTGTACGCATGAATATTTGATACGAGTATAAATTCTACTCCGCAGTCTGTCTCGTTCGTCCTCTGAAATTTCCGTTGTTTTATTATAATTCATATTATTGTCTCACAGGTATTGGTACATTTTAATTAGTCCTCGAGGGACCGATGCGTATGTTAAATACTGACATTCATCGTAAATTGATTCCCAGTAGACACGCATACGCTCTAATATTAAAAAATATGTTTCTAATATTTGTATCAGTGGATTGAAATAAAAAGAATTATAATTCGTTTTTATTACTAATTTCGTTGAATGATATTTTTGAATAGTGTTAAAAATTAATTATATAACAAATGTGTCCGATATACTGTTGATGGTTGTGCTACTGTTTTAGAAAATAACTTGGAAGGGAAAATATATAGAGTAATTTAATTTATATCTATAAGCAAGGATAAACCATTGTTAGTGAAAAACAATTCTGAACAGAGTATTATTAATTAATCCTATGTTTTCTTTTATTGCCATGGTAACCTGGAAACCAACAAAAAATTGCTAATTATTCCCATTTATTAGGAAACTTATAAAAAAAATAACCTCCTCAATGCACCGATCAGAAGAAAAAAAATGCTACAAAAAAGTTCTCATGAAGTTTTTGATCGGCACAAGAAAAGTTGTTTACAGACACAAAAAAATACACCAAAGTAAAACTTATGGACTCTTCGATTCACACAGAATTAAAACAAATTAAAAAAGAGTGGACAAATATTTATTTTGTAAATGTAATACCAGGGCGTTTAGAAAAAGCCGAGATTCATTTTTACAATTATTATCTGAATTAAAACTATAAAAGAAACAAAATCGATTACATTTTTACTCTATTAAGAAGAAAAATATAGGAAATATCCAAATAACTACTTTCTCATAACGTAATACCGTCAAGATTCGGAATGCTAAAAGAAATAAGTACCAAGTCTTCGGATCGAAAACTCGTTCCGGAACCAAAAGGCAACATAGTAAAGCAATTTAATTTCATCTACTCTTAATTTACACTAATATGACTTATTCGTTTTCATTATAATAATGACTTTTATACGTTTTGTTTATATTATATATTATTGCTGGGTATAATAGTTTTATTTAAACGACGTTAAAAATTTAAAATTAACTACTAGCGTTTTGGATATTTTTAGCTTTGGAGTACTTAAATGAAATTTCATTAACTACATAATATGGCGCAAAAATGTAAAACCCCATTAGTTCAGAATGGATTGTCGGCGAATGTCAAACGGTTTTATTGGAAAATTTAAAAATTGAATTTGCATTGCTAGTCAACTAAGAGTGTATATAAGTTCAAAGTGCTTTGAAGAACATAGAATATTAATTAAAAATAAAAATAAATTGTTTTTGAAGTTAATACTCAAAAAATAGTAATATGTAACAATAAGTCATTTAATTATAATATACCAGATGATTAAAAATTTGATGTTATGCAGCCATTTTATCTTGTAATTATTCAAAATAGAGTAAAATGTATAATATAAAGAAGCTTTTAAATTTTTAAATATAAAAAATAATTTGTAAAATTTTTTTTTTTTACTGTTTTTGGAGGGGGTTTCGGAGGTCAACTTTTAAAATTCAAATGAGAAACTACAATCAAAATTCCGTAAATAGATCTCCGTAGATAGAACTCCGTATATCTATGTAATTTTGATTATATGTTATTTATGTCTATATGTTCGATTTAAATTTCGAAAGTTGACTCCCGAAAACTTTCTAAAAAAACAGAAAAAAAAATTCAGCTTATTTTAGATATTTATAAAGTTAAACACTTTTGTATTATACATTTTTCTCTATTTTGAATATTTATATGATACAATAACTGTAACATATATTTTTAATAAAGCCGTGTACAAAAACAAATTTAGCCCAGATTATTTTATAAGTTTTATTCTAGAAATGTAAGAAATCTAAAATGGTTTGTATTCGTATTAATCTTATGATAAAACTCTTTATTGAAATAATTTATTTCCCCCCTCTCCCACAAATAATGACGTAGATAAGTATTTCTAGTTTCGCCTTCTGCATTCAGTCGTATTCTATTTTTCGATTCAAGAAATACACCAGATGATGATTATTTTTTGGTGTCAAAATTAAATTAATTATAATTCTCCAAAAAACGTTTTTATTTTTTTCTTATATATATCTATTTACATTTTTGTAAAACAATTTCAAACTTAATAACATAATTGGTTGTTCTGAATTTTGTCAAAAATATTGAGTTTACAATATTATTATAAATACAATATACGTTTACATGCAGCGTTTGCGATCATCCCCAGCTCCCATTTTTAATACGGGTATACTTATTAACATATTCATCTGCTCTGGCTTGTACGAGAAAAAATCATTATTCCCCTGAGCTTCTTCTCAAAAATTATCAACTTAACCTTTATTTTATGTTAATGTAACACAGTAATAAATAATAGAATATAAGAACAGTTGTGCCGAATTTAAAAACTATGTTAAGTTTTTCCAATGCTGAGTAATTTAATATTATATTAAAAAAAAAAAAGAAGAAACCCATATACGCGAATGTTACTTTAATTCAATGTACAGCCTATATATATATTGTTATGTTTTACCAGGAAGCTATACATTTTTCAAGCCATTCGTTGAGAAATCCTAGTTTTATTATTTTTTGTCTTTTTTTTTTTATATAGTTTAAGTAGAACGCACTATTTAAGAAAATATTTTCTTTTACTCGTCCGAATTTTTATAGCAACCAAATAAAATTCGCACTATAACAGGGACATTTTTTAACAAAACAACGAAGAAAAAAAACCATATATTATTTTAACTGTTCACTGTGCGGTAACATTTGAGTGTTATAATATATTTACCTAGATATGGGAGAAACTGACACGGAATCAATGGAGAGGGAAAAATTGTGGGATGCCCGTCGACCGACTATGAACCGTTGGTGGGAAACAGCCGTAGATGAAAACGACCTGGTGCAGGAAACCATGGCCTCTTCGCCGGAGGCCCAACAAGCTGCGCGACTATGGGTTGAACAGAATGTGCGGAAAACCCCGCAAACAGTCGACAAACGTAAACAGTTTTTCGTCAAGAAAAACTCACCGCGGAAAACCGTAAGTTTAAGTGACCCGTTGTACATGAACTCGGATACCAACGAAAATTGGCTGATGTAGAGTTGGGCTAGTATTCGGCTTTGATAAAATTCTCAAGTCATGCATTTGTGTTTGACATTTTTTTTTTCTCTTAAACACGAGTACTCCATTTTCCTTGAGTACTCGATTTATCTATTTAAAAACAATAAATAAAGTAAAAACTTGGTATACATATCAGCTTTAAATTCAAATATTATCGATAAGATCCGTTATAAGTGAGACAGACACAGAAAACTAATTATATGTAGAGGCAACTTTATGCAAATTATAAAGTTCATTCCTATAGGAAAATCAGCTATCATTTTAAATATTTAAAACAAATATATATTTGAAATTTCACTGTTAATGTATTTTTGCCATAAGTCGACGTTATGTCAATAACAGTAAATAACGTTACAGTATTTGGCTTTAAAATTCGACTTAACTCGACTCGGAAAACCAATACTCGCTTGGCTTACAAGTATATTATATTCCTACGAGTATAATTTTGGAAAGATAGATGAAGTCGGATGTTACCTTTCGAAATACATGTTTACTTTAATTTTTTTTTCAACGAAACAAAGGCTATTTATAATAATAGTACAACATTTATACTACCAAAATCACTACTATTTAATAGTACTAAACCGGACTGGTTGCTTTTTTTTAGAATATTAATCGAGAATTTCGAATTGAATTTACAAATGAATTAAGAATATATTTTTGTACTTATACCAAATCGTAGTCTAATTTATATTAGAGATCAAAATTATCGAAAATGCCTATGCGAAAAAAAAATTAGGAAATTAGATTCAAACGTATAATACATTTAATCTCTACCTACCAACAACTTGAAAAAGGTAAATATTACTGATGGCCACTGCTTTAAGAGGAAAATCGTAAAAAAGAACGATTTAGATCCATGTATTAGTCGTAATTTGTTCCTTGTTGGGAACTATAAAATCGACAAAAATGACCAGTTTTTTCCCATTATTTTAAGAAAATAAAAAACTATTTCTTCAATGCAGAAATAAGATCCAAATATTTTATACTACTACTAATAATAATAATTTTATTTGTAAACAAACGATATCATAATTTCAATAATATGTTCAATAACCTTGTGATTGAGGAGAAAGATTCTTAAATTAGGAAATATATAAATGTATACAAAATACCAATAATAATTAACAGAAACTAATTTTAACTTAGGTTAAATTTAACCTAATATATAGTACTTATTTAATCTAAATAGATTACAGCTAGAGAAATTAGAAATGTTTATCTCTAAATTCCTGAAGAGTATTATTGCACGATTCAAACAACTCTTGGTACCAAAATGCCTATCATGAGCTAGCACATTTATAATGATCTTTTTTTTGAGTCTAGAATTATAACTATGACAACATATTGGAAAGTATTTTTTATGTTTATAATCTGTTAATAGGGTACATTTTTTAAAAAATTTATCAAAATTTAGCATATTAAATTTCTTTTATAAAAAAGCAATATTTGTAAAACTAGATAATCGGAAATAAATTTAATAATCTTATTCATAATTATTCTTACTATATCTAAATGAATTATAATCCAATAAATATTTCTAGTTTAGCTTAAAATCTCGATGGAATTTTGTAAATTATGACGTATCAAAGACGCGCCTTTTGGGGGTTTTAACTCGTACTAAAGAGACGTATTTACACTTTTTACACCTCGAGGAAACTATACTTGACGCTCATTCACAACTTCATTTTGGTGGTGAGCAAAAATGAAAAAAAAAGGTCATCGTGTCTGGCGTCACAAGACACAAAGTGGCAATTACCCCCCCTCCTCTAAATACGTCCCTGCTCATATACCGTATAAATGAAATATATATATAAATAAAATAAAAAAATAATAATAAACCATAATATAGAAAGTGGTATACAATGCGTCAAAATTCGAACTATCGGCCGACATTTCTGATTTATGTTTGGGAGAGAATATATAGCAGTAGCAATTGATTTTGATGGCATAAAATAAAATGAAAAACAATAAAACTGTATTGTATATAGTCGGTATGTATAGTGTCACATATTACTATATATAGGCTATAGTAGTTGGATTTCAATTGGCAAGAATAAAATATTGTCATTCATACCAACTATAATGGCATATTACACACACACACACACACACACACACACACACGCGCGCGCGCGCGCGCGCAAACTATACATGGATTTCATAACAATATACAATTTGTTTCCATAATAGTATGTAAAAAATTATCGTTTAATTTTACATTAACCGTCGGTTTTTAATAATATTTTACATTTAATACTGTGGCTATAATATAGTGGTGAGCCGATGTAAATTCATTCAGATATCTGCAGATAATTCGATATTTTCGACACGATTTAACATTCGAAATTGAAAACTGTGAGTCAATATTGAAATTTACCGATTAATTAATTGAAAAACTATTTTTTTTTTTTAACTTTTTTTTATTATTGACATTTTTCTCCGAAGAAAAAATCGGATTAAATTATCGTTTTTAATAACATACAATATTGGTTAATACCGATACTCGCCATCACTGCACATAATACGAATAGACTAATCTGTCGCTTTCGATGAGTTCTGCTGTTTTGTTAATAGCTAACACTATAAAAAACTATACTAAAATAAAGTTATAATTGAATAGTTATATTATTAAAATGTCAGTATCGAATGCAAGCGGGAAAAAAGTGCTTTATATTTAATACGGCCAGAAAAATTATCAGGAACATCAAAAAGTCCTGAATACCCAGAACTTTAGCATGATCATAGTTTTCAAGTCAAAAGGTATAAACAGATGGCGCATCTACTGCATAGTCTCTGTGACAATAACTTGACGAATATAAGAGGGCACACGGACTATTTCGAAAAAGACAGACCGAGAAGACAGAATAAACGTAAAACAAATTGAGATAATTATAGATAAAGATAAAGAAAATAGATTAGAACAGTTACAAATAAATTCAGCTTGGCCATACTACTTGTTCATGAACACGGCCGGAGTTTCTAGTCGTAATTGTGTCTGGGGGCCCTTCAAGACCTACAATTTATAAAATGTTGTTATTTAACTACTGACTATTTTTTGAGCAGAGATTAAATATAAATAGTATTGTTTAGACTTTAGTTGATTATTGTAGACTAAAAAAAAATAAAAAAAAATATTATCATTGATAATTGTAGGAGCGAGTATATTTATACACCAATTACTTAAAATTTTAAATGTCTCTGATAATCATTTTTGTCAATGTATCATATATATAAATATAGCTCTGCGAAATTCATTTTTATTTTTTAGAAATATAATCGATCAACAAAACCGACTTTCTACCCAATATTGCACTGATTTGTATAACCTTTAAATTGTTTATCTATGGGGCCCGTAAAAAACAAAATGTTGCAGAGATCTCTGGTTTACCAGAATGACACTGGTTGAAAAAGAAATTAATTTACGCAAGGTATCTGCAGAAAATCGGTAGGATAATTGAACACGAGAAAATAAGATTATTAATTGATTACACAGAATAGCGAGGAATATTATAGTGTCATAAGTACTCCTAAATATTCTTTTAGGGTGTTTTTTTCGTAAAATTACGATACGCATAAAGTTGAATAATTATACGTACGAGAAATTGTTTTTAATTTTTACGCATTTATAAACAAACAAACTGATGTGAATATTTTAAAACTTTTTATGGTATCTATATATTTTAAACTTGTCAAAAAATATACATATATTTTTTACGAACGAGTGCTTTTAAAATCGATAATAGTTTAAGTACAATATTTTTCACATCTGGCGCTAATGCGTTGCTACAAAGATGTAAAACGCACGAGTGCCTACCTATAGTTTTATATAGGTAGGTAGGTAGGTAGGAAGTAAAAAATTTAAGTTTCAGCTTTTAAGAGAAAACAAATTTTATGTATTTTTTTTATGTTTAACGTCATTCAGTATAATGGAGTTGCATATTAGGTCTGAATAGTTTAAAAGAAAAGCCATTGAATGATATTTTTAAGATTGTATGAAAAAAGGACAGGCATAATTCACACGTGGTTATAGCCACTGTTGTAGGTGGGAAGTTGGGAAGATAGGCTACAGACTGAAATTTAATGTATATCTGTAAGCATCGATAAACCATTGATAACAAAAAACCGATTCTGGGCCGAGTTTAGTTGATAACGTTGCTTTTTTCAATGACACAATATATTGTATTATGTCATATTATAGTAAAATGATTAAAACAATGTACGTTTCCATGACAATAATGATTGTTTAAAAAAGATTTCAATAATACAAATTTAATAATAACAAAAAATAAATAAAAACGGTTGCCAATAACAGTCTTATTTTTAATCGTTCAATCTTTTTTAACCCAAAGACCGAGGTATTCCTTATTATTTCGAATATTAATGAGATTTTCAAAAAATGACTTCTTTAAAGTACCACCCGAAGTATAATCGGAGTATGCTTTATTGTAGAAAGTGTTCACATTAAAAAAAAAAAAAAAAAAAAAAAAAAACAATAAAAAAATATAAACATTGTAAAACCAATACATTCCTCGACTTTGTGTTTACGAAATATTGTACAAATAGCTAATTTGGACAGTGAAATTTCTCTGAACATTTTGGACTATAGGCAGTGAAAACCCGTATAAATTAAACTCGCTTCATACGTTAGATAATTATTCATCGGTTTCGAACATAACCGCAATCGTAATCTCAATTAAATGTCATATTAATCCTAAATGTTGGTATCAATGAAACCGTTGAGTTTGAAAAATTGAGTTTTAAACGCATATTAGTTTTCACTATTTTTCGTTATTTTTTCTCACCAAAATTCTGTACGATTCGCATAAATAACGTAACTCCCGCCATTCCTCCCGTTTTTACGTCAAACTGAGTTATGTTGTCATATTTTTATATTTATGATTATTATTATTATTTTTTTTTTAATTCATAAATCATTCACTGTGTCCGTGTCCAATAGACGAGACGGACGAGGAGTC